ATTAAGAGTACCTTCCTTGGGGTCACAGTGTATCTATTAAATGTTCGCTGATATTCCCTACTTTGCTGTCACAACTATCTCTTATATCTTCTAATCCAGTCAGATCACTGCTTTTAAAGCTCTGTAAGGCACCTATCACAGTGGTTTTTAATCTTGTTGGGGGGGATTTGAATCTCTCGATAACTGATGGAAGCTATAGACACTTGCCTCTAGAAATGTTCATAAGTGCATATTTGCATTTCTTGGGCTTCTGGGGGATCACCTTGAAGTTCTTTCATAAATCTGGAATTGTTAGGCTGCTCTAAGACCATCTTGTTTTCTTTTTAATGCTGTTTATTGGCTTGGAATGCTCATCCATTCCATCCCATTTTTTCATCCTCTAAGGCTCTGCTCAGGTCTTTCTTCCAAAAAGCATTCCCCCCCGCCCATCACCACCAAAAATAACTGGACTAGATAGACCTCCTCTCTGCTCGCCTAACACCTTTGTTACACTCTTTAAAAGTACCTTAAGAGTCGTGCCCACCAGTGATCTTCAAGTTGGGAACTATACTTACTCATTTTGGGTCCCCCGTTGTAGAACTTGTCTAAAGTAGGCATTCACTTTATGCTTATTAAACAATTGAGTGAAGTCAGGATTTTTCAAACTTTTAGCAGCTTTTTCCTCTGTGAGTAAAATATTTATTTTTTTAGATTCTCTGGAAGTAAAGGCAAAGGTGAATTTTTCTTTTTTATATTTTCTTAATTTTATTTTTTATTTTTAAAGATTTTATTTACTTATTCGACAGACACAGCGAGGGAACACAGGCAGGGGGAATGGGAATGGGAGTGGGAGAGGGAGAAGTAGGCTTCCCGCTGAGCAGGGAGCCCGACATGGGGCTCTATCCCAGGACCCAGGGATCATGACCTGAGCTGAAGGCAGATGCTTAACGACTGAGCCACCCAGGCGCCCCCTATATTTTCTTAATTTTAGAAGAGTTAATTCTAAGGTCTCTTCCAGATCTAAAATTAAAATTTTACTTATGGGCATCTTCACAAATAAAAAACTTGAGAAGTTTTCACATTTACAGAATCTTTGATGTAACAAATTGATTTTTTTTTTGAAGTCTGAATGTCCTTTTTTTTAAAATTTTTTAAAGATTTTATTTGTCAGAGAGTGTGTGTGCACATACAAGCGGGTGAAGCAGGCTTCCCACTGAGCAGGAAGCCCAGTGCGGGACTCAGTCCCAGGACCCTGGGATCATGACCTGAGCTGAAGGCAGATGCTTAACCCACTGAGCCACCCCTGAATGTCCATTTTCTTTTTTTTTTTTTTATTTGCGAGAGAGAGAATGAGAGAGGGCATGAGAGGGAGGAGGGTCAGAGGGAGAAGCAGACTCCCTGCTGAGCAGGGAGCCCGATGTGGGACTCAATCCCGGGACTCCAGGATCATGACCTGAGCCGAAGGCAGTTGCTTAACCAACTGAGCCACCCAGGCGCCCTGAATGTCCATTTTCTTAAAATCTTGTTTAGCCATTTTAGACTATTGTCTAGGCTAAATTGTGTTTTCCATTTTGGGAAAAGGAACAGAAAAGTTTCCCAGCATAAAAGTATTCTAGAAATACTTTTCAACAGTAGAGTTTTACATATCCGTGAACTCCTGTTATCCATATACTCAGAGTGGGCATTTAGAATGTAAGAAGGAACCAGAGACAGAGATGGCATGAGTTCCTTAGGGAACTACTTTAAGGTTTTTATGTTTAGTACTAAGATTTTCTTAATTTATTTAGCTCAGCAAATAATACCAGCAATTTGTTTTAATGCTATGTGCTTATTTAAGCTCTGATTTGCCCACGTGCCCAAATAATACTCCCCTTTGAGAGTACACATATTCTTGACTTGGAAAGCCTTCATTGTGGAGAGCATATTTAATAGGTGCTACAGAAACAAGGCACAGTGCCCTAATAAGTAGTGAAAAAGAAATTGGTGGTGCTTATAAAAGCAAAGAACATTACTGTTCTTGTAAAACATTAATGAGAAAAAAATAGTGGTTGAATAGTTATTTTGATTTGTATATTTTGTGTTAAAATAGAATGGGCAAATATTTTGATGGATAGGCTTTTGTCTGAGTTATTTTTAAAAATTAGGACATTTGGTCTGATAATGGCTGAGAACTTCAGAAATTGGGACTGGCCCAGAAAATGCAGAACACAGTGACCATCGCCTAAAATGACTGTACAGTTAGACACAGCCTCCTCCTTAAAGGTTTGAACTGCCAGATGTATAAACTCTAGGTGGGTTCTTGATTTGCGAATGCTAATTCACTGCTTCTACAAATACTTGATGATGTGCTGCCAAATTTTGATCAGTGCTTAAAATTTTTGCTTCTTCAAGTATTTATACTGTTATTGCAACATCAGAACTTTGAACCAAATGAGCTTTGCTGGGCAGGTATGGCATGCATAGCAAAGCTTAGTTTCAGGCTGCATTAATGGAAGGTTCTTCAACTTTGGCTGTTTAGTGAGTGGAAAGCATAAGCAAATTAGTAAAAAGTCTTAACCAAATAGTCTTATAAAAGGGACATCAAGTAAATGGTCTGATGCTTTTATAGAAAATCATACTGTAGCATTAATTGTTTTTAGTATTGATTTAGTTATTTATATATTCACATGTTTTCATTCCCTTTTGTACATTGTTTGAAATCTGACAACGTACTGGTTTATGTACAAGCTCTAAGGTTAAAACACTTTTTTTTTTTTTTTTTAATCTCACTTCCTTCCCTCCACACCTTCAAAAGCAAAAATTTGGGACTTACTGGTGAATTTGTTTTGCTTACCTCCCTCAAACCTTGGCTGATAATCAGTTTTTGATGAAGATTGGGTGTTTGGTAGGAGGTTGATTTAGAGCATGAGACTTGATATTATCGAGCATGTGGGGGAGTAGGATGTTACAGTATAAAGGCATTACGTGTGTGAGGCACTGGGAAGGTAATAGACTGCCAAGGGTCAGTTGGAAATGAAAAGGAAAATCTCTACTTCCCATGAATCCTTCTTTGTAGTGATCATATACCCCAGATTTCCAGGGTTATCTGTACTGTTCATTACCCCTGTGGAAATACTGAAGGGGGCTGGAATTCTAATATTTTGGTTCTTTCATTTGAATTCTCATACTTAAAAGCAACACAAAAATTCTTAAATGGACTACTGACCTGGTTTAGTTTCAAGGGAATTGAAATTATTTTATGTATGGCCTCCTGTGTTCACTACTCAGACTTAAACCTAATTATTTTTGTAATTTAGCCATACCCATGTGAGGTTAAATAGAGTTGTGGGATTGTTTAGGAATCTCACCACTAAAATATTATTTCCATGAAAATTCTTTTGCAATCTTAACTGTGTTCCAACACCTTTCTATTTTTTTCTTGAATTCTACCTTCCTTTTTTCTCTTAGCCAAGCATAGCAGTTTTCCGAAGCATGTTTACAATCTAGTATGTATTTTCCCATGTTTTTCCCCATGCTCATATAGTCATAGATGTGTGTGTCATTATTTTACAGAAATGGTCTGTATTTAAATTAATATTTTATGCAAAGAAAATATGAATTTTTAATAGTTCAGGGTCAGCGTTTTCAGCCATCTTTCCTACCAGAAATACCTAAGAACTTTGATTGGAAAAAATGATTACTTCATTTATCTAACAGCCGTTATTAAAGTGTGCTGTGTGTTTTTTTTTTTAAAGATTTTATTTATTTATTTGAGAGAGAGAGAGAATGAGAGATAGGAAGCACGAGAGGGAAGAGGGTCAGAAGGAGAAGCAGACTCCCTGCTGAGCAGGAAGCCCGATGTGGGACTCGATCCTGGGACTCCAGGATCATGACCTGAGCTGAAGGCAGTCGCTTAACCACTGAGCCACCCAGGTGCCCCTAAAGTGTGCTGTGTTTTATAGGAATTACCATAACTTAAGTGATGCTGAACAGATAGTGAACACTTTTCAGATTGATAAGAAAGAAAATTATAAACTTTTAAGAATTTTGAGTTCCAGGGTTCCTGGCTGGCTTAGCTGGTAGAGCATGCGAATATTGATCTCGGGGTTGTAAGTTCAAGCCCCCACATGGGGTGTAGAGATTACTTAAAAAAATAAAATCTTAAAAAAAAATAATACTAAAAGAACTTTTAGTTCAGGAATTTTACCTTATATTTACCATTTATGCCCCTAAAAAGATAAGGCATTTTGAAAGTTGATTGGGAAATTACATAGCTGGATACCCTATAGTTGAAACACATTTTCCTATCAGGGTCTTAGCTTTATATTTAGATTTAATTAATTTCATTGATCTATCTAAACTATTTGGATGTTTGCCAAGATTTAAAATTTACTTTTTTAGTAGTGTTAAATAGGATGAGATACCCAACATTGTAACTTGGATATTTTAAGTTCAATCAGAAAGGCTGCTGCATTCCTATCAGAGATAAGGCAAACTAATTAGATTCCTATATATGAAAGTTTCTTTTCATAGGAAAGTAATTGCTATTTTAATTTTAAATAATTCTTAATCCATGTCCTTCGCTTATACATGATGTTATTCTTTAAATGAAATCCTGCTGATCCTTAATTCAGATGTGTTTGACTTTTTTTAAAAAAAGATTTTATTTATTTATTTGACAGAGACACAGCGAGAGAGGGAACACAAACAGGGGGAGTGGGAGAGGGAGAAGCAGGCTTCCCGCTGAGCAGGGAGCCCGATGTGGGGCTCATCCCTGGACCCTGGGATCATGACCTGAGCTGATGGCAGATGAATAACAGTTGAGCTGCCCAGGCACCCTATGTTTGACTTAACACCAAGCTCTTCACACTTCTCCCAGTATTTGGGATTGTGAACACTACAGTCTCAATACATCATGATTGCTAACAAATTAGTGTATTTGATAAAGCGCTTTTTAAAAAAGTTAAATTGATATTTTCTTCATTTGGGGATTTTTTAAAAGTAAATAAAATTTAATATTAATGTTTTCCATCCAATTACAGGAGACAGAAATACCATCAGAAGAGGGGTACTGTGACTTTAATAGTAGGCCAAATGAGAACTCTTATTGCTATCAACTTCTTCGACAACTAAATGAACAAAGAAAGAAAGGTATTCTTTGCGATGTCAGCATTGTGGTGAGTGGAAAAATCTTTAAAGCTCATAAGAACATCCTGGTTGCAGGCAGCCGTTTCTTTAAGACTTTATATTGCTTTTCAAACAAAGAAAGCCCTAACCAAAACAATACTACCCATTTAGATATTGCTGCAGTTCAAGGTTTTTCAGTCATCTTGGACTTCTTGTATTCTGGTAACCTGGTGCTCACAAGCCAAAATGCCATTGAAGTGATGACAGTGGCCAGCTATCTTCAAATGAGTGAAGTTGTTCAAACTTGCCGAAATTTCATTAAAGATGCCTTAAATATAAGCATTAAATCGGAAGCTCCAGAGTCTGTAGTTGTGGACTATAATAACAGAAAACCAGTTAATAGAGATGGTCTATCTTCATCACGGGATCAAAAAATTGCCAGTTTTTGGGCAACACGGAATCTTACCAATTTGGCAAGTAATGTAAAAATTGAAAATGATGGTTGTAATGTCGACGAGGGCCAAATAGAAAACTACCAAATGAATGACAGTAGTTGGGTCCAGGATGGTTCACCAGAATTGGCTGAAAATGAATCTCAAGGTCAAACAAAAGTGTTCATTTGGAATAATATGGGCTCCCAGGGAATTCAAGAGACTGGCAAAACAAGGAGGAAAAACCAAACTACAAAGAGATTTATTTATAATATACCACCTAATGAAACAAATTTAGAAGATTGCTCAGTGATGCAGCCACCTGTTGCCTATCCAGAAGAAGATTTATCATTCATCAAGGAAGAACCAGGTAAATATTTTATATACAAAGATATTTCAGTTTTCATTCTAATTAATTATGGTTGGATATTATAATCTTGAAGTATATTTTTAAAGTATTTCTTAAACTATAAAAGTAATACACAAAAGTAATAACAGATACTGAATTTGAGTGTTTATCATAGAAAGGAGAAAATTAATAATATAATTTTGGTATATGTTTTTTCTCTCTTGAGTTTCTCAAAGTTTGTGTTAATCATATATGTGGCATGTGGACTCTTCTTCATTTATAGCTCTTTGACTTCTCTGATCTTTGGACTCTATGATCGCTTTTTTTGCACCCAGTGCTGGAAAAGATACAAGATAATGTAATCTTAGTTCAAATCTTAGTTGTAATATATAATCAGTTTGTCATTTCAGAACACTTTTGAGACCTAATTAACATTTTTTATTCCCAGTTTTTTTATTTGGTAATTAAACATTTAAGTGTTTTTTAGAATTTTGCAAATGACAGTGGGATTATTCCAATTGGTTTAGAGCTACTATTCTATTCTTACCATAAATCTTACAGAAGCTGAAATGTTTCAGATTTGTTCCACTGTCCCCTCATTTTCATTTCCATTCATTAAGAGAGAGGACTCTGAGACCTTTCTCCTCACTATATACTAAAAGGATATATACAAAATCTTAGTATATCACACTTGTGCTGTGGATTTTTTTTTTAATGGGTTTTAATGGGATGGGGGACCATTGTTACAGAGTATAAATAGATTTGAAACTTTAATTGCCTTTGCCTAATTTAATTATATTTGAAGAAGCAGTGGATTTGAGGTTTTCCTTTGCAGATCGCAGACTTGAGGTATATGTCTACCACTGTCGTATATGATTCAGTGTTTGTTTTGCTGTCTCAAAGCTCTGTAACTATTCAGTGTCTGATTTACATCATGGTGATTATCTGGGGATGGAGTACTTTGTTAAAAAGAATCATTGTTTTTAGTTCTAAAGGGCAGAATGCCATAGTAATCCTATGAAATGGTTTGTCTGGCTTTTGAGGCATGGATTTAGTTTTCATTGGTTTTCAGATTTACTTAGGTGAAAATCATATCTGCGTAATGAATATGATTTACTGATCTTTTCCCTCATACTTGTCTACTGTTTAATAATTAAATCTCAGAGGCAGTTTCTTTAAATATTAGAATAGGGTAGATTTTCTTAGCATCATTTTATTTTGGCTTAATTTTTAATACAGAAGACCTTGAAGTAATTCTCAAAAATGAGCTACGTTGTCTTTCTGCTATAAAGATTAATAGTTTAATAGTATGGTGGGAACCCTGTGGTGTTTTTTAAAATACACACACACACACAATACCATGTAAGGCATAAACAGGTTTTTGGGGTAGTAATTGGCAAAACTAATCACAGCTAACCCATTCTTAATGCCACATAATTGGAGTGATTCAAAGAAAAGCACTACTATTGAACCACATTGCATACTTTACAAACTTCTTTTTTTTTTAACATTTATTTATTTATTTGACAGCGAGAGCACAAGCAGGGAGAGCAGCAGGCAGAGGGAGAGGGAGAAGCAGGCTCCCCGTTGAGCAGGGAGCCCAACATGGAGCTTGATCCCAGGACCCGACTGAGTAACCCAGGCGCCCCCACAATGCATACTTTAAAAAATAACATTACTAGCTATTATCTTGGCAAGCACCCCTTCAGCTGAGTTTGTATCAATGGAATAGGTGTATCATAAATTTTTGGTAGTCTAATATGCTTTCAATTTATCTCTTACATCTTATAAAAATTGTATTATGTGACGGGTATCCCTTTGGTTTCTGAACCTTGCTTAATTGACATTTGATTTTATCAGTGATATGCTATATTCCAGCTGTTAAACTTTTTGCAACTTCTCAGTGCCTCTAAATCCAGCCTCACTGAATGGCAGGAAATGGGGGTTTTATAAGAATATTATGATTAGGACATAATATGATGCAGAGCCAGAGTTTGGCAAGTTTTTTCTGTAAAGGACCAAACAGTAAATATTTTAGGCTTTGCTGATCATAAAGTCAGTTACTTAATTGTAGCACGAAAGCGGTATTAGGTATACACAGATGATGATGGATATGCTTCAATAAAGCTTTATTGCCAACCCTTGGTATAGAGCAGTGGGTCTTAATCTTTCTTGGCTGCATATTGTGCAGACCTTGGTGCTTGGGTCTTTCCAGTAGGGATTGAGTTAATTGGTTCTGGGATGTCGCCTGGTTGTTGGAATTTTTATAAGCTCTGTCCGTGATTACACAGTGAGTGAAGGTTGAAATCCACTGACAAAGAGGAAAGAGCCCAAATTGAGTCATGATCTGAAAATGAGCTCTGTACTTAACCTACTGTGTGACCGTGACCAAATTAAATTAAACTCCTGTCTTCAGTTTCTTCATCTTTAAAGTGTGGTACTTATTTTAAGGAATTATTGTGAAAATTAAATGACAAGGGGCACCTGGGTGGCTCACTTGGGTAAGCTGCTGCCTTCGGCCCAGGTCATGATTCCAGGGTCCTGGGATCGAGCCCCACATCAGGTTCCCTGCTGAGTGGGGGGCCTGCTTCTACCTCTCCCTCTGCCTGCCGCTCCCCCTGCTTGTACTCTTTCTATCTCTAATGAAAAATAAAAAATCTTAAAAAAAAATTAAATGACAAAAGCACAACTGTCATGGTCATTATAGATCCCCTTAAAATTGGGGGACTTGAGATTATTTAAAATCAGTTTTCCAGGGCAGCGTGCTTTCTACTAGATTCTAGAAAAGTTATTTTATACTGAGCCAAAATTCATTCTTTTTAACTTCATGAATCTGTCATTTTGAGTAGTATAATCAGAGCCTAACCTCTAATCTCTCTAATCTACCTGATAACCAACCCTTCAGATATTATAGATAATTTATTAAACTAAGTGAATTCCTTGTGAATTCCAAGTGCCTTTACCATCTTTCTTACAGTCATAGACGTGTTTTTTTTTTTTTCCCACCCAGAAATTTTGGTGTACAGAATTAACTACAACTCTGGAGGCAAATTCTGACCAATATAGAACACAGTGGGTCTGTGTTTATCAAGGTTAAGGCCTGGCTCAAGGTCACTCAGCTAGTAAAAATAGAGGCAGGTTTCATGTTTAAGACCGTCTCACATTAAAACCTTGTAATTAATGAACTGGTAGACTCAGTCTTTTAAAAAAAAAAAAAACTGGTCCCCTTTTAAAACCTCAACATTTTTATGAACTGCACCATCATTGGTTACACTTTGATTTCTACTTATTGAGAAAATACTGAAAATGTTCAGTGAAGTAAATGCTTTTAAATGAATTTAAAGTTATGTATGTAAATATCTGAAAAGTCATAATAAGTTATTTCTATGGTTTATGAGCAGTGCTTGGCATATTTGAACTTGTAGATCCCTTTAAGAATTGAGTTCCCTAGACTCTTAAGCCTATAGTCTGTAAACCACAGCTCTAAATAATATCTTCTTGCCACATACTGTTGAAGCTCGTGTTCCAATGCCTCATAGAGAAGTGTTGTAAGATATTGAGATAAGAAGGTATACCTAGAAATAGGGATTAATTTATTTGTTTTATAAAGATTTTATTTATTTGCCAGGGAGAGGGAGGGAGAGTACAAGCAGGGGGAATGGCAGGCAGAAGGAGAAGCAGGCTCCCTGATTTCATATGTACTTCTGGGGAAACAATATTAAAAACATTTGTAAATTTTTATTAGTCCCTTTGAAATCAGGTTTCAGCTTTACAGTTTCAATTTGTATATTTGCCTTTTGGGTAAAAAGCACATAATTTGAGTATTTAGAAGACAACCTTGAGATGTGGGACTTGATCCCAGGATCCTGAGGTCATGACCTGAGCTGAAGGCAGACGCTTAACCGTCTGAGCCACCCAGGTGCCCCAATATCAGGGATTTAGATGGGGTTTTTTTAAAATATATATATCTTAAACTAGTATATCCATTATTTGACTCACTACTGCAATTTGCTTCAAATCATTTTTGATATATGAGGATACTTGAAATAGAATTTAGGAAAGCTTAGAAACTTCTGTCCTTTTTTACTGTTTTACTGGAGTTTATGGGATAATTATAAAGGTAGTCATTAATGAACTGCTCTGGTACTATAAAAATTTCAAATCCTTGTCTTGCTGATTGACAACCAGAAAATAAATTTCAGCCAAATAAAGTATATAAGAATCTGAGATTAGGAATTAAATTGTAGGAGTAAATATAATACCTAAAATTGTTTTACAGAGTGTGTTCACACATGCTGTTTTTAATCAGAGCAAGTCACATGTTAATCTTACTGTTGATCTTTTGATGCTCTGGGATTATAAGGAACATGATTTTCTGAATCTAGATTTTTCTGTTATTTCAGTCACAATAGCTGGTTGCACCCATTATAAATAACTGCTCTGCATGTGTACACATAACGTTGAATTTATGAATGCATACATACTTCATTTTGAACAGACGTTTTTGAAATGACTGACAAGAAACATCAGCAAAACAAATAACATACAGCAATAAAGAAGTGGTGTGCTAGTCGAGAGTGTTAATATAGTTGCCCTAATTAAGCTCTTAATTGGCTCTAAGATAATAAGCAGCCTCTCAGGAGGAGGAAAGATGCCAGTTCTGGAAGATGACAAACTTCTCTGGTACTGAATTTTGAAAGGAATTTTTTCAGTGGGGTTTTTATATAGTTGATAACATGTAGTATAAAACAATTTCCTCAAAAACATTTTCTAGTAAACGAAGCAGTATATAATTGATTTTCTATCTTTAATACAAGCTGATATAATTCTATGTAGATGATTTTTTCTTAATGTCATGCAAATATTCAGGTGCGAGGTGATTTTTTACTTGACCAAAGAATATAATTTAGAGTTCTTTAAATCTAAAAGTTCCTTTCTTTCATACGTACTTCTGGGGAGAACAGTATTAAAGCATTTGTAAATTTTTATTAGTCCCTTATAAGTAGAGTTGAAATCAGGTT